AAAAAAAAAAAAAAAAAAAAAAAAACCAGACTTGATGCTCGCCTGCTAACCAAAACCTCAGCAGTTCAAATCCACCAGCTGCTCCTTGGAAACCCTATAGGGCAGTTCTACTCTGTCCTACAGGGTCCCTATGAGTATGAGTCGCACCCACTAGGTGGATTCAACCTGCCAACCTTTCAGTTAGCAGCTGAGAGCTTCACTATTGCACCACCAGGGCACCTGCATACATATAACCACCAAAATATTCTTCATCAGGGCAATTCACTTGCGTAGCAGAAGACACACCTAAATAAACGTTTCAAAGTACTTTCGAACCTGAGCAATGACTGCCTTATTTCATTCATTCATTCATTCATAAATTAATCTAACCAACAATTAAGACATTCAAATGACACACATCAACACAAGGTCTTGGACTATTACAGGATCACTTTCAACAAATGAAACAGTATAGATAACTCTGTCTGTTGGAACTCAGCGTTCCATCACTCATTATCATTATGTACTGCTCATGACTCACATACCACCAATGGTCATCAATGCTCTGGGATTGGCCCCATTTTTCTTCATTCCCATCTAAACATTTTAACCGATTCACTCATGAATTAACTGACTCTAGTTATTAAATTTATCTTAGAGGACATACAAATCACCAACACCAAATCGGAATCTTTCACTAGCATTCATATCTCTATCCTAGTCTTAAAACATAGAGTTAATCATTGAGCTTGAGACCCTGTCATAAAATTCAATCATCTTCATTGCCACTATCCTTAAGGGTACAAAGCAGAAAAGATGGTAAAGTTTGTCTTCATTTATTAATCATAACATTCCAACTTTCATTATCCATGCATTTAAAAAATTATTGACTGGGGTGTTTATTTCCTTTTCCTTAAGATTACTAAACACAGCAAATGGGCCGCTAACTAAGAAAAGACCTTTGCCTATGATTAATACTGACTTTATGCCCTTAGCCAAAGAGATAACCCACTAAATTACAATGTTACTAAATAAAGGTCAGAGGATGCAATATATATTAGGCAAGTTTCTCCTACAATATGCACTTATGATTGGAAAAGGCTTCAAATTTTCCATTGTTATTTAAGAACCTATTACACATACTTCCTACTATACATATTTCCATTGATATTATTACAAGCAATATTCATTAATCATAAAAGGAGAAGCACCAGAGTAACGATATTACTAATATCTCTGTACAGAATCATTTCCCCCTGCGAGAAGGGAGAAGACGTCCCTTTCTGTTGCACTTCACAGTTGCTGAAATGATTATACATGATCCATGACTCAATGCCACAAGTGGTCATCATTGGCCCAGGACTGGCCCTGCTTATCGTCCTTCACAAAAACCCATTGTGGTTGACTACTTTCAAATATATAACAGAATACAGCATCTACACCCACTAGGACAAGATCGCTATTACTCACATTGATTCTCATGCTCTTAACTCATGGAGTCAATTGTACCGCACTTGACCATGGCAGAGATTAGTACCAGTCCAGGGCATCCATCCTGAGAGATACAAGGCAGAGAAGAGAGTAAAAATATTGAGGCATTATATACATTGATAGAGAGACTCTTCACATTTAATTCGTCATGCTCTTAGAAGACGATCAACCCTGGGTAATGTTGACTTCCTCTTCCCTTAAGAATGCTAACGATACCCAACATAACGCCTTGGATAAGATCATGGACTTTGAGTTTGTCCAAATCATCCTTAGCCAAAGAGGTAACCCCTCCCCACCCTGAAATACCATTCTTAAGGAACTTTGGGCTTTCAATATAAGCAAAGAGTATTCCTTGCCTTGCCATACATGTATAGAGTTGGACAGTGCTTCACCTTTACATTCTTATGAATTTAAATCTTTTCTATGGATACTTCCATTGATTTTTTTATAATATTCCAATCAAAATTCATTAGTCATTAAAGCAAAAGCACCAGATTCTTGAATATCTCTAACATCAGTCTTCACTAGCACTCCAACAACAGAAGGGGCTGCATGTCTCTTTTTGCAGGACCTCAGAGTTCCAGACACATATTCATCGTCCATGACTCAGACGCCACCAGTGGGCATCACTGGTCCAGGATTGGCTCTCTTTTCTTCATTTGCCTCACACATTCTTATTGGTGAATTCAGCAAATAACTGACACTCATGAGAAAAAATAGGACCTAAGAGGACAGACAAAGCACCCACCCCCAGACAGAATCTTTGACTGTTACTCACATCAGTGTCCACACTCCTAAAACCTAGAGCCAATCATTGAGCTGGTTATCCTAGTGGAAATTTCCATCACCATGCAGGCAACTGTCCTGAAGAGTACGAGGCAGGAAAGATGATAAAAGGCTTGACACATTAACTACATTGATCGGACTATTCCACCTTTCCTTATTCACGCATTCAAGAATTACTAACTGGGGTGGATGTTTACTTCTTCTCCCCTTAAGTATTTGAACAACAGAGCACAGGCCACCAACCAAGAAAAGAACACTGTAAGTTATACTGCCCATATGATCCTTGTCCAGGGAGGAACCACCCCCACCCTCCAGAATGACACCTTTTTTAAATAAGCTTAGGGTCTTCAATAAAAACTAAGAGTATTTCTGGCCTCACCATATGTGCTAATCATTGGACAAGGCTTCCACTTTTCTGATATTATTCATTTCATGATTCTTGTGGATTCTTCCACTGATTTTGAAAATGTCATAATCAATACTCTTTAGACATTAAGAGGGAAGCACCAGTCCAAGAAAATTGCTAATATCTGTCTACAGGACCATTTCCCACCAAGGGAAGGGATGAGATGTCCCTTTTCGTTGGACCTTAGAGTTCCAGACACATACTATTGATCGTCCATGACTCATTCGCCACCAGTGGTCATCACTGGTCCAGGACAGGCCTTGCTTTTCTTCCTTCACATTCACCTATTGTTATTCATTAAGACAAGATCTTTGACTGTTACTCACATCGATTCCCAAGATCCCAATGCATGGAGTCATTCATTCTGCATGTGACTCTGGCAGAAATCGAAATAAGCTTGGGGCATCCATCCTGAGGGGTGAAAGGAAGAACAGAGAAAACAAATATTGAAGCACTATCTTTATTGATCATGAGACTTTCCACCTTTCATTCATTGTGCCCTTAGGAGTTGATGGACCCTGGGTAATGCTGACTTTCTCTTCTTTTAAGAATGCTAACAATATCCCACATGCCACCACCAAATGCCACATTGAGTTTGACTGTCCAAATGATCCTTGGCCAAAGAGGTAACCACCACCCACCCAAAAATGATACTTTTCTTAAGGAATGTCAGGGTTTCTATATATGCAAAGAGTATTCCTTGCTTTGACATTGGCATTTAGAGTTGGACAATGCTTCCCCCTTTACATTCTTATGGATTTAAATACTTTTGATGGATTCTTTCATTGATTTTTAATAATATTCCAGTCAAAACTCATTAGTCATAAAAGGAGAAGCACCAGATCCTTGAATATCTCTCTAACATCTGTCTTCACTAGAACTCCAACAATGGGAGGGGACTACACATCTCTCTGTACTGGACCTCAGAGTTCCAGACACATACTATTCATCGTCCGTGAGTCAGATGCCACTGGTGGTGATCACTGGTCCAGGATTGGCCCTCTTTTTCTTCATTCACCTCCACACATTCTTATTGGTAAATTCAGCAATTAACTGACACCCAAGAGAAAAAATATTAGAGAGGACACACAAACCACCTGCACCAAGACAGGATCTTTGACTGTTACTCACACTGATGTCCATGCACCTGACACCTAGAGCCAACCATCGAGCTGGATACCCTGGCAGAAAAATCCATCACCTCAGGGTAAATCATCCTAAAGAGTACAAAGCAGAACATCTGATAAAAGGCTTGACACCTTAACTATATTGATCAGACCATTCTACCTTTTCTTATTCATGCATTTAGGTAATGACTGACTGAGGAAGATGTTGACTCTTTTTCCCCTTAAGGATTTGAACAACAGAGCACAGGCGGCTAACCAAGCAAAGAAGACTGGGTTTGAGTGATAGTATCTACCACATATGGTCCTTGGCCAGAGAAGAAACCACCTGGAATGACATCTTTTTTAAATGAGCTTCAGGGGCTTCAATAAGTAGTAACAGTATTTATGACAACACTATATGCATGTATCATTGGACAAGGCTTCTACATTTCTGCTCTTATTCATTTCACAAGTTCTTTGGATATTTCCATTTATTTTTCAAAATATTATAATAGACACTCTTTAGGTATGAAGAGGGAAGCTCAAGTCCAAGAAAATTGCTACTGTCTACAGGACCATTTCCCACAAAGAGAAGTGACGAGATGTCCCTTTGTGTTGGACTTAAGTGTTCCAGACATGTACTATTCATCATCCATGACTCAGAAGCCACCAGTGGTCATCACTGGTCCAGAACTGGCCCTGCTTTTCTTCCTTCACATACACCTATTGTTATTCATTAGGACAAGATCTTTGACTGTTACTCACATTGATTCACATGCTCCCAATGCTTGAAGTCAATCCTACCACACATGACACTAGCAGAAGTTAAAATCAGCCCAGGGCACCCATTCTGAGGGATAAAAGGCAAAACAGAAAATAAGAATATTAAGGCATGTTCTCCATTGATTGCAAGACTTTTCCGCTTTTATTCGTCACACTCTTAGGAGCTGATGGACCCAGGATAATGCTGACTTCCTCTTAGCCTAAGAATGCTATCAACATCCAACACGTCACCAAGGATAAGACATGGACTTTGAGTTTGACTGTCCAAATGACCCTTGGCCAAAGAGGTACCATCCCACCCCTAATTAATACTGTTCTTAATTAAGGAACACCGGGTTTTTGACATATGCTGAGTATTCCTTTTTTTTTGCTATTCACGTTTAAAGTTGGACTATGCTTCACCCTTTACATATAAATGGATTTAAATATATTTGATAGATATTTCCCTTAATTTTTAATAATATTCCAATCAAGCTCATTCGTCATAAAAGGAGAAGCACCAGATCCTTAAACATCTCTAACATCTGTCTTCAAGCACTTTCAACAATGGGAGGGGACTACACGTCTCTCTGTATTGGACCTCAGAGTTCCAGACACATACTATTCATCGTCCATGACTCAGACGCCACCGGTGGTGATCACTGGTCCAGGATTGGCCCTCTTTTTCTTCATTCACCTCCACACATTCTTATTGGTGAATTCAGCAATTAACTGACACCCATGAGAAAAAATATCAAAGAGGACACACAAACCACCTGCACCAAGATAGGATCTTTAACTGTTACTCACATTGATGTCCATGCTTCTAACACCTAAAGATGAATGTCAAGCTGGAGACCCTGGTGGAAAGTTCCATCACCTCTCAGGCAGCTGTCCTAAAGGGTACAAAGCACAGCAGATGACAAAAGCCTTGACACCATAACTGCAATTGATAGGACCATTCAACTTTTTGTTATTCATGCATTTAGGTAATTACTGACTGGGGTGGATGTTTACTTCTTTTCCCCTTGAGGATTCGAACAACATGGCACAAGCCCCTGACCAAAGAAAGAAAACTGACTATGACTCATACTGCCTATATGTATAGTCATTGGTCAGAGAGAGAACCCCCTGGAACAATACTTTTCTTAAACGAGCTTCATGGGTTTCAATAAATAGTAAGGGTTTATCATCGGACAAGGCTTCCACTTTTCCATTTTTATTAATTTCACGATTCTTGTGGAAACTTTCATTGATTTTTTTGAAATGTTATAATCAACATTCTTTAGGCATGAAGAAGTAAGCACCAGTCCAAAGAAATCGCTAATATCTGCCTACAGGACCCTTTCCCACCAAGGGAAAGGATGAGATGTCCCTTTGTGTCAGACATCAGAGTTCTAGACACATACAATTCACCTTCCATTACTCAGACACCACCTGTGGTCATCACTGGTCCAGGATTGGCCCTGCTTTTCTTCCTTCACATACACCTATTGTTATTCATTAAGACAAGATCTCTGACTGTTACTCACATCAATTGCCACGATCCCAACGCATGGCGTCAATCATACCACACGTGAACCTGGCAGAAATGGAAATCATCCTGGGCATCCATTCTGAGGGATACAAAGCAGAGTACAGAATACAAATATTGAGGAATTATCTCCACTGATCATGAGTCTTTCCACCTTTCATTCCTCATGCTGTTAGGAGATGATTGACCTTTGGTATTGTGGACCTCTTCTTCTTTTTAAGAATGCTAACAACATCCCACCACTGCTAAAGATAAGATCGTGGACTTTGAGTTAGACTGTCCAAATTATCCTCAGCCAAAGAAGTAAACCACCCCCCATCCCAAAATTATACTGTTCTTAAGGAACATTGGTCTTTTGATATATGCTAAGTGTATTCCTTGATTTGCCATGTGGACAATGCTTCATCGTTTACATCCTTATGAATTTAAATCTTTTTGATGGATACTTCAAATCATTTTTATAATATTCCAATCAAAACTCATTAGTGATAAAAGGAGAAGCACCAGATCCTCTAACATCTGTCTTCACTAGCACTTCCAACAATGGGAGGGTTCTCTGTGTTGGACCTCAGAGTTCCAGACACATACTAATCATCATCCATGACTCAGACGCCACCGGTAGTCATCACTGGTCCAGGATTGGCCCTTTTACTCTTCATTTGCATCCACACATTCTTATTGGCGAATTCATCAATTAACTGACACCCATGAGAAAAAATACCTAAGAGGATACACAAACCACCCAGACCAAGACAGGATCTTTGATGGTTAACTCACATCAGTGTCCATGCTCCTAACACCTACAGCTGACCGTTGAGCTGGAAACCCTGGTGGAAAGTTCCATCACCTCAGTGACCACTGTCCTGAAGAGTATAAAGCGTAGAAAATGATAAAAGGCTTGACACCTTAACTACATTGATTGGCTCATTACACCTTTCCTTATTAATGCATTTAGGCAATTATTGACTTGGGAAATGTTTACTTTTCTCCCCTTAAGTATTTGAACAACATGGCAAGGGCCACCCACCAAAGAAAGAATATGACCATGCGTTATACTGCCTATATGGTCCTTAGCCAGAGAGGGAACCCTCTGGAATGACACTTTTCTTAAGTGAGATTCAGGGATATCAATAAATAGTAAGAGTATCTCTGGCCTCCCCATAAGCATTTATCATTGTACCAGGCTTCCATTTTTCCATTTTTTATTTATTTCATGATATGTATACTTCCACTGATTTTCAAAAATGTTATCGTCATGCAGAGGGAAGCGCAAGTCCAAGAAAATCGCTACTGTCTGTTTATAGGATGATTTTTCACCATGGCAAGGAATGAGATGTCCCTTTGAGTTGGACCTCAGTGTTCCAGACACGTACTATTCATCATCCATGACTCAGATGCCACCAGTGGTCATCAATGGTCCAGTGTTGGCCCTGCTTTTCTTCCTTCACATACAGTTATTGTTATTACTTCATCAATTAAGTAATAATAATAACAAAATACCTAAGGGGACATACAACCTCCCCCCACTAAGACAGCATCATTGACTGTTACTCACATAGATTCCAACACTTCCAACTCATGAAGTCAATCGTACCGCATGTGACCCTGGCAGTAATTGAAATCAGCTCTGGGTTGTCCATCCTGTGGTGTACAAGCCAGAACAGAGGATACAAATATTGAGGCATTATTTTCTATGATCATGACTTTCCACCTTTCATTTGTCATGCTTTTAGGGGTTGACTGACCCTGAGTAATGTTGTCATCCTCTTCTCTTAATAATACTAACAACATCCAACATGTCACCACCAAGTATAAGATCATAGACTTTGAGTTGGACTGTCCAAGTGATCTTTGGTCAAAGGGATAACCACCTCCCACCCCTATTTGGTACATTCTTATGGAACTTTGGGCTTTTAATATTAATATATGAAAAGAGTATTCCATGCTCTGCCATATGCCTTTAGAGACAGAAGATGCTTCACTCTTTATATTCCTATGGATTTAAATATTTTGATGGCTACATCTATTGATTTTTTTAATAATATTTTAATCAAAACTAGCTTGAATATTCCTCACACCTGTGCATAGTATTATTTTCAACAGAGAGAAGAGACCAGGTCTTTCTTGTGTTGGACCTCAGACTTCCAGACACATACTGTTCATCGTCCATGACTCAGACATCACGCATTGTCATCACTGGTCCAGGTTTAGCCCTGATTTTCTTCATTCACATACACACATTACTGTTGACTACTTCACCAATTAAGTAATAATAATTTTTAATAAAACTAATACACATAATCTACTCCCATTAACATGATTTTTGACTGTTACTCACATCAATTCCCCCGCTTCTAATGCATGGCGTCAATGTACTGCACAGGATTCCTGTAGACACTGAAATCAGTCAGGACATCCATCCTGAGGGCTACAAGGCAGAACAGAGGATACAAATATTGAGAAATTATCACAGTTGATCGCGACTTTCCACCTTTCATTAGTCACGCATTTAGTGGATGATTGACCCTGGATAATGTTGAGTTCATCTTCTTTTAAGAATACTAACAATATCCAACATGCCACCGCCAAAGATAAGAACATTGACCGTGAGTTGGACTGTCTAAATGATCTTTGGCCAAAGAGGTAACCTCCTTGCTCCCCAAAATGTTACAGTTCTTAAGGAACGTTGGGTTTCAATATATGAGAAGAGTATTCCTTGCTTTGTCATATGTATTTAGACCTGAAATATGCTTCACCCTTTATATTTTATTGATTTAAATATTTTTGATGGATACTTCCATTGATTTTAATAATATTTTAATGGAAATTCATTAGTCATAAGAGGAGGAGCGCCAGATCCATGAAGATCTCTAACATTCATTATCATTTCCAACGATGTGCGCAACTCTCTGTGTTGGACCTCAGAGTTGCAGAAACATACTATTCATCGTCCGTGACTCAGACGCCACTGGTTGTCATCATTTGACCAGGATTGGCCCTCTGTACTTAAAATTTTCAACTTTTAAACACATGAAGAACCATCAACCCACCATCCTACTCAACAAATAGAATGCTGACAGTATCTTCCATCTGCTAATATGCTCCTCCCTCAATGAGTTTAAAAATTACTTCTGTATCCGTAAAGGAACGTTTAGATAACCTACAATGCAAATACAAAATGAAATATTAACCAACTATGAATATCAGTAAAACACGCCTTATTTCTTTAACGGACTTTCATTAGGGTAAACTGGATTCATCATATTCCTTTGCTTGAAAACAATCTAATCATTAGTCCATGCCTGGGTTTCTTTGCTTTTATTCTTCTTAAATAATACCGTAAACATCCATCACCAAACCACCCAAACCAAGAACTTAGGCAATTACTAACTTCAGCCTATGCACGCTATACCCCCGTAGGTAACAAGTAAAAACTTCATGACTGGAAATGATTAACTTGGCCCTCCTGTACTCATTCTGTGGCGTATAAAATCGATACTAGAAAGAAGAAACCATCCTAATTTTTTAAAATCAGTGTCAGGTGAACATTACTAGATCAATCGCAATCCTTGATATGTGGCAGATTTTTATCACTGGCCTCTAACTGCCCTATGAGTAGCTTGTATTTAGTTTTTAATAGTGATAAGTACCGTTGTCTCTATCACTAAAGGCAAGAATAAGAACTCTGTCTTTTATGAACAGCTGTCTATATGCTCCCCCACATAGATAAAAGTTTATATCTACTTGTAAATGGACTGCATGGAAATAGGATTAATCTAAATGCTTGCTCAGAGGACAGTCTCACCAATGGCCCATGGGTGCCCTTATTCACGTAGGTCTATATATGTCTGTATCTATGTATTTATGTACGGACTTCCTCATGGATCTATTTAATTATCTATTCACATTTCTAAAGAGAATGAACAAGGTAAACCAGCCAGAAATACAGAACTAAATTATAATACCTTACCCAAAGGTCTTTTCTCCATGTATGAACGGCAGTTATGTAGAACATGAAGATTCATGATCCTTCTTTCTTAGCACATGCGCCTCCCCTGTTGGGCCCTCTTTTGTTTAATTAGTGAGTCAATCCGTTATCTGTTTACATAACAGCTTTTTTTTAAGAAGAAAAACCACCAATTTACCCACTAACCAGACCAAGCCCATCGACTTATTGCATTCATCTGTCTATATGCTCCTCATCCAAACAAGTAATATGCTTCACCTATTTTTAATGGATTTCAATGCTTCAGAAATATTTTAAAAATAATTGTTGTTTCATTAAATACTCTCATAATAGGTTCTCTTCTTTCATTTATACATTAGTGTATTGATTTATTCACTGACACACTTCTAATAATACAATCACTATCCACAAGAGCTTTAAAAATCCATGCACGCTACTACATCTGTCTATAGACTCATTTCCCACAGCTTGAACAGGCTCTTATGATTGGGCTTCAGTGATACAGATAAGAATTAATAATAACCCTGTATCATATCATTCCTATTCTCGTCTTTGGTCTATGGAAGCCCTTTTTAACGTAATTGGTCTACATTTTAAGGATTTAACAACTATAATGAACAGCCTTAAACCCAACATCTCACTCAACATCTAGAACACTGTCATTATCCTCCATATTCCAATGTCCTCCTCCCTCAGGAACTAAACGTGCCTAGATCGTCATCAGCATAGGTATTTTTAAATCAGTTACAGCACTAACAAAAAATGAAATATTAAATAGCTGTAAAAATAAAATGTCTTCCACCATTTTAATAAATAAAATTCAGTTCTGCTGAAATGACTTGATTGTAATATTTGGCTCCTATCACATTTTACTCATTGATCCATGCAGGGCCTTTTTGGACTTCCTTCATGAGTGTACCCTCTATTCCTTTTATAGGCATGGTACACCCAATAACTAAGAAGAAGAAGAGCTCTGGATATTACTTAAGCTAGTCTGTTCCCTACCTACTCACAGAGGGCAGAGCCAACATCTTCATCATTAGAAAATAACTAAATCAGCTATTTTGTGTTAATCCACTGTGGGTCAAAGCATTTGTTAAAAAAGAATGAAACAATCTAGGTTTAAATATTTTTTTAATGGATGCGAGGTGAGAATTGGTCATATACTTTGGTCTACGGCACATTTTATCTTTGGCCCCAAAATGGTATGCCTTTTAAAGTTACTTATTCAACTATCAATTTTTTTAAAATAAACACCCTTAAGCCACCACCCACAACAAAACTAAGAACTGTGACTATTACAAACATTTGTCTGTGTGCTCCTGAGGCACTAAAGTAAAAGTCTAGATCTTTTTTTTAATGGAGCTCACTCGTGGATGAGTTGGTGGGCTTGAGTTGTTCTTACTGACTGATCAATTGATTGCTTCACTTGTGGATTAATTTATTATCTATTCATTTTTCTTCAAAAAAAGACAAAAGAACAATGTTTAAACCTACCAGCAACGCAGAAATGAAAGGTTATTAGGTGCTTTTCCTAGGTGTACATTATACAGTGTGGGAAGGGACTAGGTCATTTTTTCTTCATATTAAACATCAGCTGGGCAGAATTGCATTAATCATATTCTTTGTTTTATAACACAAGCTTTACCCACTTGTAAGTAATTGGTTGAGTTTGAATATTTTCATGCCTCCATTTATATTAATACAATCAATGTCACTTTATGTACCCAAACTTAACCAGAACACTGACTGTTATAACATCTGTCCAGAGTCGCACAACACACCAGATGCCTCATTACTCATTACTGTTTAAGGAACCTAGTGAACAGAATTGCATTAATCATAAACCTGTCACACAAAACCTTCTCAGCATACCCTTCTTTCATTTAGTTAACGGTTGCTAATTTATTTAATTATGTAAATTTTTGCCTTTTTTGTTATCAAAACAATCAGTAATCCCCCGCCAACTCAGAATAGGAACATTGATTAGAACACACGCCTGCTGATATGCTTCTTAACCAAAGGGATAGCAACCTTAAACTTTTTTTCAGTGGTTCTCAATGCTTCAGATCAGGAGTCCCTGAGTAATGGAAACGGTTATGCGCTCAGCTACTAGCTGAAAGGTTGGCGGATCAAATCCACCCAGAGGCGCCTCAGAAGACAGATCGGGCAATCTGCTTCTGAAAGGTCACAGCCCTGAAAACCCCATGGAGTAGTTCTACTCTGCACACATGGGGTGGCCGTGAATCAGAATCGACTCGATGGCAAACAACAGTGCTTCAGATATTGTGGTAGACAGCTTCCAAGATTGCTCCAAATGAGCCTCACTTGACAGTCACAACCTTGTAAAATCCACTCCCCTTGAGTGGAGGCTGGACCTCTTTTAAACAATAAGATAAGGCAAAAGTGATGGAATGTAACACCCAAGATTCGACTGCAAAAGACTGTAACCGATGTCCACCTTGCCTGCCCTCTCTTCACTCGGAGGAAGCCAGCTGCCAGGTTGTGAAATGCCCTCAGGAGAGGCCCACACTCTAAGGAACTAACGGTAGCCTCCAGCCAATAGCCCCCAAGGAACTACATCCTGCCAACAACTAAGTGAGCCTGGAAGCAGACCCTTCCTCTGTCAAGTCTTGAGTTGACTGCAGCCTCAATCAACACCTTGATTGCAAACTCATGTGAGACCATGAGTCAAAGCACCCCCTAAGTAATGCCCAGATCCTTGACCCACGGGAACAGTGTGGGAATTTGTTACATGGCAATAGATGATTACTACAGATATACATTAATAATAATCCTTGTTTCATTAACTAGTCTCATAACTGCCCCATGATTTTCTTTTTTCACCTATTTATTTTTCTGATATAATTATTTATTCACTGAAGGAGCCCTGGTGGCGCAATGGATAAGCACTTGGCTGCTACCCGAAAGGATGGAGGTTCGACCCCACCCAGCTGCTTCATGGGAGAAAGACCTGGCAATCTGCTTCTGTAAAGATTACAGCCTAGAAAGCCCTATGGGGCACTTCCAGGCTGTCACATGGGGTCGCTATGGGTTGGAATCGACTCAACACCACACAACAACGTTGATTCACTTAATAGAATCACTTTCAATGAATCACAGCCCCCCAAAATAAGATTCTGGAATATTCCTAGCATTTATCTAAGGTTCGCATCCTAAGAGGGACTAGACTGCTCTCTTTTTATAATGGACTTCACTAATGCATATCTGGATTCATCCTAATCCTTGGTTCATAGCCAGCGCAAACCCACCCTTGGTCCATGCTTACTATTCTTCATTCAGTTATACATTTGTTTATACTTTCATTGATTCACTAATAGTATAATCAATGTTTGTGAATCACAAAAACTCAAAAACAAGAGGCTAGACTCTGAAAACATCTATCCACAGATATTTCTCAGAGAGGAGTTAGATAATCCCCTTCGCAGATGGGTGAGTCAATCATCGTCCTTGCTTCATACCAGTTCCATACTGTTCATTGGCCAATGCTTGATCCTCTTTCATTTATTTTATCCGTATCTCAAAGACATGACAACAATCAACAACGGACCCACCATTTTATTCTGTACTTAAAACACTGACAATATCTTACATCTTCTAAAGTGATTCTCCCTCACATTGACTACATCTTTCTACACAGAGGGAGGTTTAAATCAACTGTGACTCAAAAATAAAATGGAGTAATTAAGTAACTGTGGAAAATGAATTAAACAGTCTCGCTTGTTTCTTCTTAATTGTCCACAGGTGTGTTAAACTGGTTTGCACATGACCCTCATTTATTTTATTTGCCTATGTAGCAATTTATTCCTTTTTAATAATAGAGTTAACACCCATGACAAATCGTCGAATCAGAAACAATTACTTTGACTATTACTTACATAGGTTTCTACCCTCCGTATTCAAAAAGATAACAGCCAGGATCCTCCTCATTAGAGAATGATTTAATTAGCTATGGTGCATCTGTGGAATACAAAGAAACGTAAAAATAAGTAGGTAGGTAGATAGACGGATAAGATAAAATACGTTTTTTAAAACTGAGTTCAAGTCAACAGTAATTGATTAGGAATAACCTTTTGTGCTTATTATATCTTGTATTTTAAACTTGAATGTCATACCTATCTATTAATCAATTAAGTATCTAATTTAAATACTATAACAAAAACCTTTGAAACTAATACCAGACAAAAGAAAAAGAACTATGACTATTACCCACATCCACTTATGAGCCCCTACCCAGTGAGGAGAGCTAGATCTTCCTTCTAGATGAATCTTACTTGGGAAGAATTCGATTAATCAGAATCGTAGATACAAGCACATTCTCAGCAACTGTCCACGCATGTCCCACCTGTATGTATGTATATATGTATGTATGTAGTTACTAAAAAAAAAAAAAACCCAAACCCACTGTCGTTGAATTGATTCCAACTCCTAGTGACCCCACAGGACACAGCAGAACTGTTCCATAGGGTTTCCAAGGCTGTAAATCTTTACAGAAGCAGACTGCGACATCCTTCTCCCACAGAGCGACTTGTGGGTTCGAACTGCCGAACTCTCAGTCAGCAGCCCAGCACTTAATCACTGTACCAGCAGGGCTCCTGATGTGTGTATGTATGTAGTTATCTTATGTATGTATGTATGTAGTTACTTTATGCGTGTGTGTAGGTGGTTACTGTATGTATGTATGTCATTACTGTATGCATTTTGTAGTTATTTATGTATGCATTACGTAGTTACTATATGTATGTATGCAGTTACTGTATTATGTATGTCATTACTTTATGTATGCATGTATGTGTGTATGTGTGGTTACTTTATGTATGTCTGTATATATGTATATATCTAGTTACTGTATGTATGTACAGTTACTTTATGTATGTATGTAATTACGTTACGTATTATGTATATAGGTAGACGCTGTACGTATGTATGTGGTTATTCTATATGCATATGTATGTAGTTAGTGTATGTATATGTGTATGTAGTTCCTTTATGTGTGTCTATATTATGGAGTTACTTTATATGTATGTGTGTACATAGTTACTTTATGGATGTATGTGTGCGTAGCTACTTTATGGATGTATGTGTGTGTGTACTTTATGGATATATGTGTATTTGTAGTGCTTTTATGTGTTACGTATATAGTTACTCTAAGGGTGTACGTGTGTGTAGTTAACTTTATGTACGTAGTTACTTAATGTATGTACGTGTGTAGTTACTTTATGTACGTATGTAGGTAGGTAATTACTTCATGTATGTATGTAGTTACTTTATGGCTGTCTATATGGATATAGTTACTTTATATGTGATGTGGGTAGTAACTTATGTTTGTACATATATACTTATATATGCATGTGGTTACTTTATGTATGTATGTTAGTTCTGGTGGCATAGTGGTTAAGAGCTCAGCTGCTAACCCAAAGGTCGGCAGTTCAAATCCACCAGCCACTCCTTGGAAACTCTATGGGGCAGTTCTACTATGTCCCATAGAGTCACTATGTGTTGGTATTGACTCAATGGCAACAAGTTTTTGGTTTATGTATGTGGTTACTTTACGGATATAAGTATGTATGCAGCTACGTATAGAGTAATTTAATTATTTTATTACATTTTTAAGGAAATTGTCAAGGTTAAATATACCAAAAAAACAAGGGAAAGCCAATCTAAATACATGCACCATTCCAAAAATGTATAAGAACCTAGATTTGTGTTCTTTATTTGGAGAGCAGTTGGGTAGAACTGGATTAATCACTATCCTTTTCCATAGCACATGCTCCTCATTGCTCCATGCTTTGCATTCTTTTAAGTAATTGATTGAGATATGAGCTTATTCTTTCACACATTCATAACACTACCATTAATATCTGTGTACCTACAGAGACTGGACACTATGAATGTATGTCCATATGCTCATTAAGCACAGAAAAAAGATCAGGTCTTTTTTTTTCTTTCTTTTTTTTTTTTTTAATTAAAACTTAGTGAAGATCATTGGATTAATTATAATTGGCCATGTGACATTCTCGATTGAGATATATACATATAAGTCCTCCCTCAATTAGGTAGTTATTTAATCAATAATTAATTTAAGGACATGTTTTACCCTTTTCTTAATAAAACAAAAACCCAACATCTAAATACTAACCCAGAACAACAACAAAACTCTTCCATCCATCTATCTAAATGCTCCTTACTCAACATGGTCAGCTTTGATTAATTTACTTTACTGGAACTCAGTGCTTCAAAAATGTATTAGTAAAGATTCTTATTGCCTTACGTACTCTCGTATTTGGACTAGGAATAGCCCATTTTGTCTTTATTCATTTATATATTTCTTTATTTAGTCATGTGCTGATTACCTAAAAATAATACAATCCATACTCAAGGGCAACAGAAGACCAAGAACAAACTCCTGAATATTTTTAACTCTTGGAATATGTTCATTTTCCATAGATAGGATAAATAAGACCTCAGAGTTATAGGGTTTAATCAAAATCCTTGATTCAGACACCCCAGGGTACTCATCATTGGTCCAGGCTAAGCAATCCTTTTCTTCATTTATACCTTTGTTTATTGATTCAGTCAGTGATTCAGTAACAGTAATAAAATCAACACTCATGAATTTTTTAAAAAGTACAAGATTATTGAATATGGCCAAGATCTGTTTATAAGCTCTTTTTCCATAGAGCTAGTAGACTAAATCTCTTTTTGCAATGGCCCTCAGTGATGAATATGTGGATCAATCAACATCCTTGCTTCATACCCTTCCCATATTCATCACTGGCCCAAGCTTATTCCTCTTTTCTTTAGTTTGTCCGTATTATAAAGATGGTAAAATAAGCACCCATAAACCAATAGCTTCATTCCCGACTATGTTCCTATATGCTCCTCCCTCAGCAAAGAAGAGTCCAATAAAACTTTCTGTGATGATGGAAATGTTCTATAGCTTCACTGTCCAGTACGATTGCCATTAGTCATATGTTGCTACTAAGTGCTTGAAAGGTGACTAGTGCAATTGAGGAACTAAATGTTAAAATTTTACTTAAATTTAAATAATTTAAATTTAAATGGCCATATATGGCTAGTGGTGACAACATTGGACAGTGCAACGCTAGATTTTAATACTGGAGAAATGTTTAAATCCAATGCAGTGCAAAAATTAGGTGGATAATTAATCAGCTTCAAAAATGACAAAATGCTCTCCATCTTATTTTTAACCACAATTATGCTGAATTGTATGAATCATAATCTTTGGTTCATAACACATTCCTATCATTGGTCTATGCATGGCTTAATTTAAATAACTCAGTCAACACTAATGAAAAATTCACTCAAATGGAGAAATTTTGAGTGTTACTTACTTCGGTCTTTAGGCTCCTTACTCACGAAGATAATAGCCTAGATCTTAATCAGCAGAAATTCATTAAATCAGTCATGGTCTTCATTCTGTGGAGTCAAATGCCAGTTTTCAAAAGAATACACAGTCTAGATTTAGATTCATTTAAAGCACATTAGTTGTATGGTACCAGATTAATCCGAAAATTGATTCAAGTACCATATTCATCTTGACCCAAGAATGGCACATTTTTTAAATTTATTGACCTATTTAATTATTAATTTAAATTATATAATGAACACCTTTGCATTCACCACTCAAAAAGGAGAACTAAGACTATTACAAATATCTGTCTATAGACCCATATCTACATAGGCAAGAGCCTAAATAATTTTTTAATAGACTCAACTTGTGCAGAAATAGGTACATTTAAATTTATAACTCATGGCATATTCTTACAAACAGTTCATGCTTGACCTACCTATCTATTAATTTAATCACACATTGTTTTATTATTCATTTATAGGATGACTAACTGAATAATTTAATCATATATTCACATATATTAAGAAAAATACACACACACACACACACACAATGGTAAAGTCATGAACAACCTAGAATGGAGATGCTCTTTGCATGCAAGTGTCTATATGCCAGTACCTACACTGGGAAGAGAGAGACAGTAGTGTAGACAAAGATTACTCATGATTCTTGCTTCAAAACACATCCTTTTCATTAGAGCATGCTTTTCTCTCTTTTGAAAAAAGTGATTGCTATAAGAATTTACTCATTCATTCACACCCAACAATTCTTCAATATCTGGGAATTAACACTGGACAAGAACCTTGAATAATGTTGATACGCCTCCATATGTCCATTACATTAACCAAAGAGATTTAAAAAACTAGATCCTTTTGCTTGTTTTTAATAAAACTCAGTGAATAGAGATGGATTAATAATAATAACTCTTTTCATAAGGCACTCCTCAAGACGAAGCAGGCTCATTCTTTTTTCCAATTAAGTAACTAATTAATCAATTATTTATTTATGTAATATATTCCTTTTCTAAGTAAAATCAAACAACCATGAAGCAAACACCTATTTCAAATAATAATATGGAATCATATATATGTCCATCTACAAGCTCCTCCCAGAAAGAGGTAATAGCCTTTATCAATATATATTTTACTGGAACTCAGTGCTACAAAAATGTATTAATAACAATCCATGTCTTATTACATACCCTCATAATTGGCCCATAAACATCCCTCTTTATATTCACTCATTGGTATGTTTCTTTATTTATTAGTACATTGATTCACTTATAAAAACTCAGGCTATAACCATAAACTCTGAACGTCCATGATCAAGATACATGAATATTTTCAACTTCTGCTATAATCTCATTTCCATAGAGCGAAAAAAGCAGGTATGTCTTTATAATGGACCTTGGAATTGCAGATAAGGTTTAATCAAAATTCTTGATTCAGACAACATCCAATCTCATCAATGGTCCAGGCATGGCACTTTTTTTCTTCATTCATGTATACCTTCCCTTTCTATGAATCACAAACTCCCGACAACAAGACCTTTGACATGACCATGTCTATCTCTAGACTCATTTCCCACAGCTTTGAGGTAGATCTCAGTGTTACACATGTGGAATCGTCAATAAAACCCCTTTTGTACCAGTGTCATCATTATTAATAATCCATGATTGGGCTAAAACCAAAAAACAAACCCATTGCTGTCGAGTCAATTCTGACTCATAACGACCCTATAGAACAGAGTAGAACTTCCCCATAGGGTTTCCAAGGAGTGACTGGTGGATTTGAACTGCTGACCTTTTGGTTAGCAGCCGTAGCTCTTAACCACTCACAATGGCATCCAACAACTAGAAGACACACAGTATGTTCCACCTTCCAACAGCTTCCTTAAACAGTTAACAGCCTGGATCTCTAAACATTATGGGAATATTTAAATCAACTGTGGCCCAAACATGATATGGAATATCAAATTCTGAAAATGAATTCTGTGCCTTCCATATTTTGTCTTTTTTTTCAATGGATCTCAGTTGTGCTGAAATAAGTTAACCCTCCTCCTTAGTCCATGTAACACAGTTACCACCTACTGGCCCATACTCTGTGTTCTTGAATTCTATTTATGCATATACGGCCTTTTCTTCCATTGAAATAGAGTCGAGCCTCTTTACTCATGGATTCTGTAGGTGCAAATTTGTTTATGGGCTAAAACATATTTGTAATCCCAAAATCAATACTTACCCAGCTTTAGCAGTCATTCAGGGACGGCGCATGTGCAGAGCGGTGAAAAATGAGAGCCGCCCGAGGCGCGAGGTCCCAGCTGAGCACAGACAAGGCTGGTTTGGTATTCCTTCACCCAGTGTTCACGGGGAGTCTATAGAACCTAACCACCATGACTAACAAGACTCCACTGTACATCAGCGACCACACATGAGCAGGCACACAAACCAAGAACAGAAACTTTGATCATTACTAACGTTGGTGGGCTGTGCTGCTTATCCCCAGAAGTAACACCTGAGAGACTCATTACTGGAAAATGATGGAATTCATAGCAGTGTGTTTGTTCTGCGAGAAAAAGCAGAGTTTTAAAAAGAATGAACAGTGTAAGTTTAGATGTTATAAAAAAAAAAAACAGAAGTTAGTTCTGCCTTACTAGACTGGCCATGAGCACTGGGGTCATGTTACAGACTCATCCTCGGCCCAAAGATGGCATCCTTTTCGTGTACTAACTTACTCAATTTTTAGTGTGAAAAAATGCAGTGAACACCTTTTAATCTATCGTCTAACACAAGATGATGGACTGGTATCTGTATATCCCCCTATCAAATAGCAAAAAGCCAGGCAATTTTTTAATGAACAAAACTTCCACAAAATGGGATGAATTTAAATCCTTGTTTCATGACACAATCAACCAAAGGGCCACACTGTACTTCATGTATTTATTTATTCATTCGTTTATTTATTTACTTTTCGCCCTTGTTGTTGTTAGATGCCTTCGAGTCAATTCCAACTCATAGCGATCCATGTGGCAGAGTAGAACTTCCCCATAGGGTTTCCTAAGCTGTAATCTTTATGGAAGCAGATAGCCAGGTCCTTCTTCCACAGAGCCACTGGGTGGGGCCGAACGGCCAACGTTTCAGTTATTGGCTGAGTGCTTAAATGCTGCACCACCAGGGCTCCTTTTATGACCCTTAGAATAATTTAATCATCTGCTCTTTCTTTATAAAGAAAACACAACGTGGTGAAGCCCCCTGCTACCCAAACTAAACACTATTGCCTTCAAGTGCCTATGTCAGCACTTTCTGTGATGATGGAACATCTGACAAAGTGCAGATGTTCTCTAGCAGCACTGCCCAGGAGGGTAGCCACCAGCCACATGAGGACTGGAATATGGCTGGTGTGAATGAAGAACTGGATTTTTATTTTTAACCAGTTTTAATTTTAATGTTAATAGCTAGATATGGCGAGAGGGTGAGCACCCTATGAACCTTACCTAAAGGAGGGCCCTGGGGCTTTTCAGGTTTAAATAACTTCTAGAGGGTCCATACCATGGTTTCTTCTTATTTAAATATGGGATTAAATTATGAAATTCTTCTTTCACTCACTTATAATAATAGCACCAACATTTGTGAGCCCTAAGGACATTGAGCAAGGAACCCGAGAAACACTAATATCCACCCACTTCTTATTACTCAGGAATCACCAACAAAATGCCTCTACGTTTTTCTATGCAGGTAAAAGTCAGTGAACACAAGAGGGTTCGTGTTTATTACGTTCACATCCTCACTGTTTGTCCACGCTCAGGCCTTTTCCAGGTTTTCCAACAACTATCTAATCATTATTAATTTGATTTTTAACTATATTAAATTATTATGCTATAATAATATTGTTAACTTATTTATTTCATCGAGTCATTATTGACTATATTAAATTGTTATTATTTACACAAAATATTACTGTATTAAGTGCATTATTTAGTCATTATTGACTATATTAAATTGTTATTATTTACACGAAATATTACCGTATTAAATGCATTATTTAGTTACGTAAACAAGCAACCAGCAACTCTCCACCCACCAGGAATGACGATACTGATGCTCACACCTATCTCCCTGTATGTTCCTTACCCTAAGGAAGAGTGGCCCTATTCTATTTCTTTTCCTTGAACTCCAAACTTCAGAGATGCGTTCATAATAACGCTTGATTTATTAGCTTCTCTCATAATTAGGTGAGATATGTCCCTCTTCGTCTTTATTTATTTGTGCATTCATTTACATATAACAATACAATTCATATTTATGAACAACAAAAGACCAAGAACATGACCCTTCAAGGTTTCTAACTTCCTCTCCAAGCACATTTCCCACAGAAGTCATCACTAGGTCCCTGTTGCAATGGACCTCAGAGTTACAGACAGGGTCTAATCAAAATATGTTATTCAGATGCCCCACACGTACTCATCATTGATCCATATGTAGTATTCTACACCTTTATTCAATTATATTATCCTTGATTTATTCACTGAATCACTAATAGTAAAATAATCAATACCCATGAATCAGGAAAAAAGAAAAAAATACTGCAAGATACTTGAAGATATGAGTGTCTCTGTGGAAGCTCACTTCCCACCGAGCTAGAGGATTAGATCTCATTGTGCAATGCACCTACCTCAGTGCTGCACATGGGAAGGAATCAGCGCCCCGGCATCTCAACTACTCCACATTAGTTACTGGGCCATGCTTGGACGTCTTTCATTTAACTTATCCATATTTGAAAGATGGTATATTAAGCAACCATGAGAATACCATCTTACACCACAACGAAGGCAAAGACAAAAACCAAAGCCATTGCTAATGCATAGTAACCCTATAGGACATAGGCTTTCCAAGGAGCGGCTGGTGGATTTGAACTGCCAACCCTTTTGGTTAGCAGCTGAGCTCTTAACCACTGCGCCACCAGGGCTCCAGGTAAAGATAAGACCTTCATTTTCTTATGGAAGAAATCCACATGTTAACCCCTCAATGGGTCAACAGTCCAGAAGAGTATCAGTGGAGAAATATTTAAATCCACTGTGGTGCAAAAACAAAAAAAAATTAGAAAATGGAGTAGTAAAACGTTGTGAAAATGACTAAAATGCCTCCATCTTTCTGTCCTAGTTGTGCTGAATTGGATGAATCGTAATTCTTAATTCATAACACATTTCCCTCACTGGTCAATCCATGATCATTTTGAATTGTTGAAGATTCAAAATTCGTTGAAGTAAGTCAATGAAACTTATCAACAAATCTCTTCCCCCACCCCACCTCACAAGCAATAACATGAACTTTGATGATTACTTACACTGAACTCTTGTCTCCTTACCCCAAGAAGGAGCAAGCGAGATCTTCACCAGGAGATGCTAGTGAAATCAGTTACGGGGTATTCATTCTGGGGAGGAAAAAGCAGACTTTAAAAAGAATCAAATGGCTTACATTTGGCTTTTTAAAATAAACCACAGTTGTGCAGGAATCAATTAGCCATAAGCCTCGGTTCATGTCATGTTTTCCACATTTGGAAAGAGAGAGCACTACTTTATATTTATTGACTTATATCATTTTTGTTTTAAGTAATTTAATAAACACTATTGAATCTATCAGTAAGCACAAGAAAAAGAAGTATAAGTAGTGGAAACATCTGTCTGTACTTGCTACGCATATAACAGCCAAGAAGCCAAGATCATCTTTTTTACTGGACTTTATTGGTTCAGAATCAGACACATAGAGATTCAATTCATGGCACAATCTCACCAATGGTCCAAGCTTGATCCTACTTAATCTATTTATTGATTCACTCACAAACTGATTTATTTAATGACTCGTGGAATAATAAAACCACACCTTCATGTTCTTTTCAAATAAATTCAAAAAGCTTGAACAGCAAAACAGAACTGAAAACTACTCACAAATGTTTATACGGTGTAACTGGAAAGGCCTAGAACCTTTGTCTTCCTATGGGTATTAAATGTGCAAAATACTATTATCTTTATATCCAGTTACACGCTGCACATTGGTGGATTGTTTGCTGACTTTTTAAAAAGCTGACTGAGATACAAATTGATTCATTTGTCCACCTACCATCACACTTAAATATCTTGAGCCCACAGATGCTGGATAAGTAATGTGAATAACATTTGCATTTGTCCTAATGTCATTACCCAAAAGAATAGCACACTGGCTCCTTTTATGTCGATTTGCTTAAGTAAAATTCCATAAAAAAGATTGCATTAATCGTAAATGTGGTTGTATATACCAGAATCAGCATTACTTCATGCTTGTCTCTTAGTTACAGACTTATTCAATCAAAGATTCATTTATGTAAATGTGTTTCCCTTCCCTTAATACAATGATCAACTAGCAGCTCAACTCTTTACACAGGACAAAAATATTGACTCTTAGGTACAAATGACCATATATGCTTCTTGTCAAAGAGGTAAG